GGGGGGCCCGGCCTGCCACAGGCCGCGCTGGGTCGGGCCCGGGGCCGCGGCTCCTCACCTTCACCAGCCACATGCCCGTGTTCTGCTTGGCCCCGGTGAGGTCCAGCTCGCCCTTGTCGCTCATGGCGGGGCAGCGGCCGGGCCGGGCCGGCGGCGGACGAGACGAGCAAGCAGCGAGCGCGGCAGCGGAGCGCACCGGGACACGGCGGCCCGTGAGGGACAAACTTCTTCCGCTCGCACTGCGCGGTGGGGCGGGCCCTCTCTGCGTCGGGGCCGCGCGTTCGGGTCCCCGCCCTGGCAGGACTGTGGGGAGGGGCGGGAATCGGTGGTGGCTTCAGAAAGCTCCGGTACCGCAGAATATCCTGGATTCGAAGGCATCCGTAAGGATCATCGCGTCCAGCTCCCGACCCTGCACAGGACATCCCCAAGCGTCACGCTACGTGCCTGAGAGCATTGTCCAAATGCTTCTTGAGCTGTGTCAGTGCTGTGACCGCTCCCGTGGGGAGCCTGTTCCAGGGCCCACCCACCCTCTGGGTGAAGAACATTTTCCTGATATCCAGCCCAAACCTCGCCTGACACAACCTCAGGCCATTCCCTCGGGTCCCCTCACGAGGAAGCTGTAACTGCAGTGAGGTCTCCGCTCAGTCTCCTCCAGGCTGATCAGACCAAGGGACCTCAGTCGCTCCTCATACGGCTTCCCCTCAAGACCCTTCACCATCTTCATTGCTCTCCTTAGGATGCTCTCTAACGGCTTAATGTCTTTTTTATACTGTGGCACTCAAAACTGCACACAGGGCTCAAGGTGAGGCAGCACCAGAGCAGAGAGGGAAGTTATTCCCTCCCTGTACCAGAAGAGTTATCCCAGTATGCTGAAGAAAGGCATATGCAAATGATCAAGCGGAACTGGAGGAGCAGCCTGGAGAGAGGAGGCACTACCATGATGGTGCCCTTCTGTCTGGGAGGGAAATGGTGGCTAGAGGAGCAGCTCCTGTGAAAGGGATCTGAGCATCATGGTGTGCCCAAAGGCCACCAAACTGAGGAAAACACAGCTGGGGAATTGTTTACTGGGAATAAAAATTAAAGAATTAAGCTTAACTTCCCAGAAGGGGAGCTCACGAGGGAGTGTTGGAACAGGCTGTCTGAAGATAGGAGTGCATCTCAAACACTGAAGATATCCTGTGTCAGGAGAGAGAAAGTGCCTGCCCATCCTACTTTGAGATGGGGGTATTTGGCTTAGGAAAACCTAAGTCCTTATTTTATGGCTGTTTCTATCCCTGGAGAAGTTTTTCCCCTTTACAATTTAACCTTGTTATCTCTTCTATCCACTGTTTGTCCACAAGAAAGACACGGACATGCTGAAGACACTGGCATAGGTTTCCCAGAGAAGCTGTGGATGCCCCATCCCTGGCAGTGCTCAAGGGCAGGTTGGCCAGAGCTCTGAGCAACCTGGTCTAATGGTGTCCCTCTCCACTGCAGGGGGTTTGAACTAGATGATCTTTAAGGTCCTTTCCAATCCAAACCCCTCTATGATTCTATGGCACGGAAAGCATTTTATTATCTTCCTCTCTTCCTTACTTTGTCCTTTTACTGAGATCTAGCCCTTTGATTTGCCTCCTCTCATACTAAATAATTTCACTTTGTTCAATTATGTCTCTCAGGTCTATTTTCCAGACCTCTGGTTATGTCTGTTGCTCTCTGAATTCCCCCCAGTACAAGTTTATATCCTCTTTGAAGTCTGGTTGCTCAACGGTGAAGGTTATATTCCATCTGAGACTGTACTAGCAGCAAGCAGAGGATTTTTTCTGGTACAATATGCAAGAAATTGCTCATCTGGCTCACAAAAAAATTATCTCGGTACTACATCCCAGATATGATAGTCTGCCTTTCTAATTATAGGCAAGCATCTAGGTAACCAAGGAGGACAATGTTTTTATATGTATCTGAAGCAATAACAGCTAACACTGAACTATTAGGATGATTAGGATTACTTACATTTAAAATTAATTACATTTAAAAATTCCTTTTATTTTTACATTGGAACTGTGTTTGTCTGCAGAACTCAGCTGAGAGGGTGGATAGATCTTATACATTTAGTCAATTTCCACTGAAAATTCAGTTTTCTTTAAGACTACCTTACATAGACACAGAGGCAAAGCATTAGAGGCTCCTCAAATGCTAATAAAAATGGAAGTGGATGCATCTCAACAGTTGTAAGACCAGCCCCATTTTCTGGGACTATGTCACCACCAGATATTGCAGGTCTAAGACCCTTTTGTTTTGTTCACCTGGAAAAAGAGTGGATCTGCACAGAGAAACACCATCACTTTACAGTCTGCTTTAGATCCTGCTCATAGGGTCACAGAACAGTTTGGGTTGAAACGGACTTTAAAGACCATCTAATTCCAAACCCCCTGTCCTGGGCAGAGACACTTTCCACTAGATCAGGTTGCTCAGTGTTCCATCCAACATGGCCTTGAACACTTCTAGGCATAAGGCATCCACTGCACAGTTTCTCTGGACGATTTGTTCCAATGTTTCACTAGAAACATTTAGAAATATTTCTTTCTGATGTCAAATCTAAACCTACTCTCTTTAAAACCATCACACCTTGTCCTTTCCCTGAATAAAAATTGTCTCTCTTTCTTTCTTTCTTGTAAGCCCCTTTAATGTACTGAAAGGTCTCCCTGGGACTTCTGCTTCTCTAGGCTGAACATGCCCAAATCTCTTAGCCTGTCTTCATTGGAGAGGTGCTGCAGCCCTCTAACTATTTTAGTTTCTTTCCCCTGGACCTTATCCGACAGGTCCATGTATGCCTTGTGCTGGCATCCACTGAACTGGATGCAGTATGCCAGGAGGGATCACAAATGTTCCCCCAGGATAAACACTGAATTAACAGCAAAACTGTCCCTCTGCCACTGCTCCCAGCTCAGTCTGTGTACTCAGATCACACGCACCAGCACTTTTCAAAAAGAAAAAAGCAGTGGAATGGATATCTCTAACAGGGGTGACATTTGCAGCAAAGCAGCATTGAGGGAGTTCAGACGAGCCTGTGCTCCACCGGATGGAAGGAGAGGAGCTCCACTTGCAAAGAGCCCAGCAGCAGGCGACAGGAGCATGGCTGACCACCTCAGGACTCCTCTAGAGAGGGAATCCATGAGGAGTCACCACTCATAGTCCAAGTGTAAATGACAATAGCGAAAACCTCTGTAAAAGCCTGACAATTAGGGTGGCTCAGCTGGCAGCCCAGAGGGGAAGGCGGCCAGGCAGAGATCTCTCCTGGCTTCCTCCAGGCAGCCTTTCCACATTCGTTTCCATGGAAACTGAATTTAAAGGGACAACAAGCAGGAAAAAGAGTGCATTTTCATTAATTCCTCATTTAAAATCTTCAACCTTGTGTTTGCCAGGGACACATTTAGTGCCATGGAGGAGGATCCAGGGGCCAGCTGCTGAGCCACAAAGCTGTGTGTTAGTCACCCATTTTCTTCCTGCTTGCATGGAAATAGATGTGTCTGAGAAGAGAGATGGCCAAATTCAGACTTGTACAGCCTTTCTCTCTTTATTTTCCCCTTGTTCAACTAGGTGAGATGAAGAGTTGGCAGTGTCATCAGCAGCCACACAAAATTTCTCTTCATCCATTTTAGGAACAGTCTAATTGATGCAGCCTGGTGGTGCTGGGTGAAAACCAGTGCAGCAGAAGATGCAAAAGGCGTTATGCTGCCCTGTTGAAGCTGATGGGAGTTTTGCATTTAGGAGCCCATGTACTTTCTTCAAAGCCCAGCAAGAACTAGGGATGATGTGCTTCTGGGAGCTGGTGGTCCCAGAAGATATCAGTGATGGACACCATCAGAGAGATTTCCATGTGCTGGAGGAACTGAGTGCTGCCCACATCTGGATGGTCCCTGAGTTCAGCTCTGTACAGCAGAGCTGTGCTGAGCCTCCATGGGGTCTAAATATTTGGGTCTGGAGCCAGAGCTGAGATCCACTGCAAGGCACAGAGAGAATCTCCTGCAGAAGCTGATTTTGATTTGGGAGCATAGAGCCAGGAAGACTATTCCACCAACAGCTGATGCTCTACCTTCACTCATTCATGCCTGCCAACCTCCTCATCTACAGATTAAGGTGAGCGAGATACTCATGTTGGAAGAGGAAAACTAATGGAGGGTAATTGTTACAGCATTGCTTGTCGTACTCTGTAACAAGTACAGCACAACAACAGCAGAGCTCTGCCAGCAAGCAAGCACCTCTCCTGTATTCTGAATGCCTGAATTTTCAGCCAGCAAAAGCCTCATGGACTTAAAAAGGTGCAAAAATAAAATCTCAAAACTACCATTATTGAACTGCTTGAGTAAGAGGAAGGCAAACTTTTGACATCTTCAACTGTAATGCTTTATTCCCTTATCTGTAGTGCAGTAGGTCTGTGTAAACTGGAAAAAGAGAAGAAATAATCCGCAAAGACAGACAGCACATCTGGGCAGATCATGATCATTTATTTTGTAGTGAGAGAAAAGAAATTCTGTGTAACTTATTCCCAAAACAGGGCATGCCCCATCAAGCTGCATAACTATTTTCTGAGGCAGCAAAGAATTCTCAGTGTGTCTTTCTAAGACAAAAACATATATGTTGGAGCTTTTGTGTTTTCAAACTGCTTTTGAGCAAATAACTGTAATAACAGACTTGTTTACTCCAATCTGTTCTGTGGCAAAGAGTTGGAAAACATCAAGCACAGGGCTGAGCTCCTATTTCAGTACAATCCTAGACAGTATGAAATCTTCATGGCACTTCTGCTGCAAAACACAACACAAGAAGGCAGTTCTGACCAGAGGGCAGCCTTCATTCATTAGTTAATAGTTTTTAATTATTTCTATACATTTACAGCCACACATTTTTTATCTATGCTGTGTATTGGAGAACACTTAGTTTTCATGGTACTACACCTCTGCTTACAGTTCCAACCCATACCAGGTCTTCCATCATATTAACAGTGTGCAGTAAATTTGACTGTAGGCAGCTTGGACTCTTGCTTGCTAGGATTTTCACCATATCAAGGAAGAAGCAGGAGTGGGGGAAGAGAGAGAATTGAAAGACACAACTGGAAATTATTTTTTTTTTCAAAGGAAGAAAACACTTGTCAGAGAATTTCAGATCCTTAGTTTGAACCTAATTTAAAATAATTTCTTTTTAAATGACC